ATTTTACCTTACTACATATAAATAATAACAATTCTCCATTATTTGTGCATTAAAATCCACATATAAAAGACGAATTTAACATAAAGTGAACATTTTCAACACATTAGCGAACTTAATAAACCGGCAAATTAAGGAAAAACGTTTGGGACTGTTTCATTTAACTCTATTTATCGTCACTAACTGTCTTTCTCAAAAACCGGTTAAAAATAAATCTATCATTATTTATTTATTCATTTATTTACAGAATTTATTATCCCCATCATGGTACACACAATCTTACTTCTTGCAGTCACTATGTTGAAATGCCCTGTAGTTTGAGCTTCTCCCTACTAAGTTATTATATATCATATTTCTATCACTTATGTTACTTGTATATTATTTGTAAATCAAGAAACCCATTCCCCAATTATGTAACTGTATATTTTCACCCTTCTGGCTGCCATGGTCTTTCAATAAACCGTTAATTATTATTATTACTATTATTATTATTATTATTATTACTATTACTATTATTATTATTCTTAAATATACACAATCATACATATATACTCTACATATATACAGCGCCATGGTATTTCTATGTGTGTATTCTTGGTGTGGATATTTGTAGTATTAACGTACATACATACATACACATACACACACATATACTGTATACTTACACACAGACGCATATATACGCGCACACATTTTATACATACTTCCATACATACATACATATAGGCAGGAAAAAAGAGAATGACAGATATAGACACAGAAAAAGAGGGAATAACACAGACAGACACAGACAGACAGACAGACACAGACAGACACAGACAGACAGACAGACACAGACATACAAACACGTGCCCGAGCTCAGGTGTGAAGAACTGATCAGTAATTATGACTGGACAGGTAAACGTGTGTTGTGACGTCATATCCAAATGTCAAGTTCACTCCCAATGACCTTGACCTTTGACCTGTTATATCAAGAATGGCTTAATTTAATGGAGTTAGGTTAGGTTAGGTTAGCGGTAGTGGTGGTAGCGGTGGTGATGGTGGTAGTAGTGGTGATGGTGGTAGTAGTGGTGATGGTGGTAGTAGTGGTGATGGTGGTGGTGATGAGGCAACACTCCTAATATAAATAATATCCATTGTGCCACCCCCCCACCCCCCAGGACCATCCCCTTCCCCCAGGACCACCCCAACCCCCCAGGACCACCCCCAGGACCACCCCCACCCCCCAGGACTATCCCCACCCCCAGGACCACCCCCACCCCCAGGACCACCCCCACCCCCAGGACCATCCCCACCGCTCCAACACCACCCCCCACCGCCCCAGGACCACCCCAACCCCCAGGACCACCCCCACCACCCCAGGACCACCCCCACCCCCCAGGACCACCCCCCAGGACCCCACCCCCAGGACCACCCCACCCCCACCACCCCAGCACCACCCCCCACCGCCCCAGGACCACCCCACCCCCAGGACCACCCCCACCCCCAGGACTACCCCCCCACCGCCCCAACACCACCCCACCCCCAGGACCACCCCCACCACTCCCCACCACCCCCACTCCCCAGCATCACCCCCACCACCCAAGCACCACCCCCCACCGCCCTAGCCACAGTACAGTAATGTTCGTCTCAGCCAGCCCTTGTTGCAACACACTCAGCTGGTACCCTGCTGATCTACACACAAGCAACAGCTACCGTCCCACGAAACACGATTATGACATCCTGTGCGGAAATTGTCACACCATGCAGCACACCAAGGGTCAGTCCTAGTGTATTTAATCAGAATTAACTTTAGGACATTAATTACGTTAGTTTCTTTATGTACAACTTCACAAAACTGGTCCAAAATATTGAGTTGATGTGAGGTAATAATTATGAACAAAATAGAAGATAAAAACCTGAGTTAAAGAGTTAAAATTAATTATTTTATATTGTTTCAGTTAAATAAGTGATTTTTATAACCATAACTTGGACTTATCATACAATTAAATCGATGTTAATATTCATATGGTAATACCTGTTGCCTTAATAGAGGACCAAGATGATAACAGCATGGTACCAGCCTAGTGCCACAACAGTGATCGAAGCTTATCTTACTTGATCTACGTTAATAACACCATTAACTATATTATTTTCAACGTATAATTTACAACTACATTTGCAACATAACAATGACCTGAGTTGTGTGTAATTAAGGACTGCAACAGGACAAAGAACAATGATGAAATCGATATTATCAACGTTTTGAATATGTCTATAATGTCGAGTTCCTTCCAATCATTAAATATTAAGACAATAATACTTCATTTTACATGTTTTTTATTTAAGTAATATTATAGAGGAATTATTTTAAATATTAAATCATTAAATTGTAACATATTAAATGACGTAGTCGTTTCATCTGGAATTTTCTTTCAAGTTGACGTCATAGAAAACGGTTGTCATTTAAGGCCTAACTATTATTGTAATCTTATATATAATAAATACATCAACAGAGATAACTATTAAATAAAATGGTCATAAAAATTTATATTAGTTCATTATATACATAGAGTGAAGATATATATAGCGTAAAATAACACCGTAGAGGTTTATAGTACAGGTATATAAAACTGATAAAATTTAAGTCAATTTAACTAATTCCCTATAATATTTACGCTTGATATTATATTTTTTGCATTACTTATTATTATTATTCATATATTTATTAGCGTTATCATCATGAATAGTAAAGATGGTATTAAGATTATTTATCGTCACGACCCCTGTAGCTCCCCTCCCCAGGTCTCTCTCTCTCTCTCTCTCTCTCTCTCTCTCTCTCTCTCTCTCATATTCTCCGTAACTCAAAATGTGAGAATATAAAATTTCTAGTCAGTTGTTAAGATTCACCCCAGCTTATATTAACCTAAAGATTAACCACCATAACACTAACGGGATAACCTAAAACTGACCTAACTTAACCTAACACTAACCTAAACTAACACTAACTTAACATAACACTAACTTAACCTAACACTAACTTAACATAACACTAACCTAACCTCAGATACATTTCAAGGCGCCAAAAATACATTAAGCATACAGTATACATAATACATAATATCCCCCCAAGTATACATAATTCATACAAGAAATACAAATAAGAATGAGACTGACCATTGAAAGGGTACATGACGTCACACACACATACACACACACACACACACACACATACACACACACACACATACACAGACATACAACATTGCACCATGTATTCCTAAGTGAGTGGGGGTATGTATACATGCATTTCCTCCAGCCGCTGTGCACATGAGGAGACGAGAGAGAGGAGACGAGAGAGAGGAGACGAGAGAGAGGAGAGAGGAGACGAGAGAGAGGAGACGAGAGAGAGGAGACGAGAGAGAGGAGAGAGAGAGAGACGAGAGGAGAGAGAGATGAGAGAGAGGAGACGAGAGAGAGGAGAGAGAGGAGAGAGAGAGAGAGAGGAGACGAGAGAGGAGACGAGAGAGAGGGAGAGAGAGAGAGAGACGAGAGAGGGAGACGAGAGAGAGAGAGAGAGGAGACGAGAGAGAGGAGACGAGAGAGAGACGAGAGAGGAGACGAGAGAGAGACGAGAGAGAGAGACGAGAGAGAGACGAGAGAGACGAGAGAGGAGAGACGAGAGAGAGAGAGAGAGTACGAGAGAGAGAGAGAGAGGAGGAGATGAGAGAGGAGAGAGAGAGAGGAGACGAGAGAGAGGAGACGAGAGAGAGGAGACGAGAGAGAGAGAGGAGACGAGAGAGAGGAGAGACGAGAGAGAGGAGACGAGAGAGAGGAGACGAGAGAAAGGAGACGAGAGAGAGGAGAGAGAGAGAGGAGACGAGAGAGAGGAGACGAGAGAGAGGAGACGAGAGAAAGGAGACGAGAGAGAGGAGAGAGAGAGAGGAGACGAGAGAGAGGAGACGAGAGAGAGGAGACGAGAGAGACGAGAGAGAGGAGAGAGAGAGAGGATGTAACTAATAGTGTTGTGTTGACTTTAGACAGACAGGGATCGTAAGCAACCTATCAAAATATATGTTCTTTATAATTTTCTTCCTTACGGCTGGTCATTGTTTTCCAAGACTTCAATATTGATTTAATTGTTTGATAATCTGTCATTCTTGTTGTTGTTGTAAGAGAGATACAGAAACAAACAAATAAATTTAATACATTCTAACACAAAAAAAACCTTAGTTGCTGAACTTCAATTACAATTATCTTCAATTTGATTTAGTTTTTCCTTGTATATATTCTTTAACTTTGTAAATTTATGTGATTATTTTGATGACTATCTGTCTATGAAGGTGTCTGTCTGTTTCTGGAGGTAAACATAAGGTATTGGTAACGTTTTTCTTCATATCGATCGCTTGGGGTGGCAACAGTGCTGGTGGTGGTGGTCCCGTCAGCGTTATATGACTACTGTCTATTATTATCGTCTATCTCTCTATTATGTCGAATATTACTTCTATTTTTTGTGGAGTGATATTCAACGTGACTGAGTTTATATTTGTATAAGAATTTCCAATGGCATTAATCCTTTACCAGCTCCCAGACACTATTCTTGTTATATCGTCTAACTGTTAGTATGTCTACACTCTTAACGTACATATTGAATTAATGTGAACTTGTCTGACGATTTTTACTGAAAAGATGTCTGTCTGGCCATGTTTAAATGTATTATATATACATTTGAACGGGCCGCCCATGATGCACGTGATGGGTCTGCGCGCGCACGAGACACAGGCGGTTCTGAGAGGTAAACTCCAGTTACTATTTATGTGTAATTTTACCATCTTTTCCTTTGATAATAAACGTACATATTAATTATAACGTTGATTTAAAATATATTTCTATAATTTCGGGTGGAAATTAAATGCAGGATAATAGGAGAGGGTGAGAGAAAAGGCGTATAAAAATGAACGTGGCGATATATGGCGTTCCATCCAGCCCAACACAGTGGCTCGGCTCGTCGACAGCTCAGTGTTGGCTGTCGAGTGACGGGCTAACAAGAATTACCGTGCGCTCGAGAAATGATCCTCAGAATCTACTTTCCTGTGACAATCGGTGTGATTTTTTGTGACAAACTGACAATTTATTGCTCCAGCTAGAGGGGTACCTACTTAAAAATCAAATCTCTACACGCTTAGTCGTCGAAATAATACGAAAAAGTTAAGTGGAGTGACCCAAAGAGAGTATCGGGCAGTGTGCGGTGTTGCCAGGTGTGGGGTGCGGGTGTGCCACGTCGGGAGGGATGGATTCACGATCAGCTGAGCCGCTGCAGAGTCTCTGTTCACAGCAGAATTCTCGCCACCGCTCTTCCAACAACAACAATGCTCTCAAGAAGAAGAAGAAGAGGCGCAGGAGGCGTCGACGCACACCAAAGGCCATAGAGACGAAGCGTGGCGAGAGTAGCTTCGCGATACTGTCGCCGACGACGTCGCGCGAGTCATGGACGCTGCACACTGGCCCTCCCACGCCCGCGCTGCGGCCTGTGGGCGCACAGGTGCCGCGCGCCCCTGAGAACAGCACACAGTTCATCATGGACGACCACGAGAATTCCACTTTGTTTGTTGACTTCGACAACTTCAGCACACCTCACTGGGAACAGGAGCCACCCGTTAGCGGGGCGGAGGAAGATACTGGTAGTGCCACGCCCACCCACGCCCTCACCCGCGACTGGTTCCCCTTCAACGCGGCAGACTTCGAAACCGCATACCAGAGCGCCCGTGAAGATCGGTTGATGTCCGGGAGTCGCTCAGAGCTGCGTGCTGCCATAGTCGCCTTGGAGGCCCGGGCGGCTGTGCTGACGGACGCACTGTCAGCCTCCCCCTCCCGCCTTCTGTCAACACTGCAGGTTCAGTTACTGCACCTTCAGGAGGAGAATGCTGCGCTGCGTCAGCGTCTGGCTCGTCGGGAGCTGAAGCGGCAGCAGAGTCTTGAGTCATCGTCCTCCTCCTCTACTGACAGCGACTCTGAGTCAGACTCAACTAACTCCTCCAGTGACTGTTCAGAGTCGGACTGTGACACCTGTGCTGCCCGCCGGAGTGCGGCGGTGAAGGAAGAGGAGGAAAAGGAGAACACCTGCCCGATGCTGCCCACACAGCTGTCCTGCACGCTCTTACCCTAAGCTCCCCCAGGGGATCAGCTCGTTCAAGAGGCGGCAACTCACTGCCCCTGGAGGGAGAGCCTCTCTTACACCACCTCCCGTGAGCGGCGCTTGAACCACATCTTCCCGTGTGGTCAGATCATGTCATAGCCTCCACACCCACCCACCCATCTGCTGGTTCCTGACGCTGTTAAGGAGCGACCCATCAACAACCACCACAGCTGACCTCCACCACATCGTCAGCAACACGCACCATCACGTCTCGTAAACAATTGGTCACCAGCTTGGTATTATATCCCACCAAATTGTCTAAACCACAGCAGATGTGAGTAAGAGGGAGCAGGTTGTTGGGACGTGTACCACAAACTTGTACCCAGTGAAGGAAGTAACTGTCAGGCGCTGGTGTGTAGCCTAGTGACGGAGCCGCTGGTGTCAAGTCTAGCGAGGAAGGTTTGTTGGTGTGTCAACCCAAGCGTCGCCTGACACCACACGGGAGTCGGCCACCGTCAGTCCTCAACGATGTGTTCAGAATCAGCTGTCATGCATCGTTTTATAGTGTCACCTGTCATACAGTTATTGAATGCAGTGTTTACGTTAAATTAGTCATTGTACCGGATCCAAGTTCAACAGCCTTCGTCCAGAATCTTTCACAGCTTGAGCACACTTAAAACTGCTAGAAAACTTTGCTCAAAATGATCTAAAAAAAATTTGTGTTTAATTCATGTATATTTTTGTAATTTCCGTTTGACGTTATAAATGTGTTGAATAGAAAATGTTACGTTTATTTTTTAGTTATAATTTACGTACTATAATCTGCTCACTGCAGATAATGTTCAAGATTTTGGTGTAGATATTGAGTGAATTAGGACTTTTCTGTCTACTGTACTCTAACTGCATTTCATATTATGCAAGTGATTAATTCAACAATTCGTGTATTTTGTGTTGATGTAATCAAAGAATGATGTTTCCTTTTATTTTGTGGGTTTGTATGTTCATTGTAAATTAGTCAGTGCCCTATTTTTGTCAAGGAATTAGCAATGCATTGTATTTTTTGTTTCATCTTCCTCATCTCATATTTTTTGAGTATAGGAGAGTATTGCAAGTCATGTTTGTTTGTTTTGGTCATTGTAGACGTCTTATATTTTTGTATATTTTACTGTTCAGGCCTGTGGGTGAGATATTAGTGGTGTGATGAAACATTCTAGTGGGTTCATACATCACTAAGACTGCCATACTATGCATTAACGTTAGTCTTTCTCTCTCTCTCCTCTCTCTCTCTCATAGGAGCTAGGCAAATTCTTCTCATAGATTAAACTGTTTTATCTGTGTGAAGAATAATTGTTTTTTAGTGTCAGATCTGTACCACGGAAGGAAGTTGTGTCACCCAAGTCATGCTGGCTCACCCAAATATTTTGGTTTCTTGGCCTCTAGAGTGACGTACATACACTTACACCACTACAGTACACACACACACAATGTTGCCATCACGGGGACCTTGTTACTACCATCACCAGTGTTCTATTATCTGTCGCCACATTCATAACCCTGTTAAACAAAATTATTGTAGCTATATTGCCAGTTCCCGTGTCATCATTCGTCTCCCCTTGTTGCCGTATCTCAAACGCTTGAATGTTGCCATTTTGTCGTCGTATGTCCCAATTAAGCATTGCATTATTTGTTCATACCGGGAGTGCGTTAGTCAGCACTTACCCTGGTGTGTGTGTGTGTGGGTCATGCTAATACAAAAATAAGTGCGCGTTTACAAGTGGCTTCTAACATTTTACAATATATATATATATATATATATATATATATATATATATATATATATATATATATATATATATATATATATATATATATTTTTTTTTTTTTTTTTTTTTTTTTTTTTCTGGAGTGGGTGACTTATGTAAAGGCAAGGTCTCACGTGTCAAATGTTTAAGAATACATTAGCAAGTTCAAGGTACGGTAATATATGTGTGTGTGGCTTGCCTAGAGATTAAAGGCTTACACCCTAGCAAGGTTGCGGTTATAATATAACAAAGTGTCAGTTTTAAAACCATCTAACACAGCGGTGTAAGTGTATCTAGTTATGGGTGCCAAGATAAACCGAGTAAATTTATCAATGGAGTGAAATTGATTGTATATTGTGTACGTAACTTAGCCAGATTTCCCAACATAGGAATTGAGTTGTGGGCGTCAAATTGAACCTAGCTTATTGTTTGAAAGCTAATGAGAATATTTTCCGACCTGGGAAAGACTTAGACGAAATTTATAAAGAATGTTTGTAACTTGGTGGGGTGAGCAGAGCAGTATAATGACACAGCGATGGGTTAACCACATTCTTGAAACGGTATAGCAAGGGTGAAAGATTTGGACCACAATGAAGTACCTGTCCTTTTGTATGTGATATTAAATATTAAGATGAATGTACACAGTAATATGTAAGAAGCATTAAAGCACAGTTAAGTCGACGATGGACGAGTATTTGGATATGCAATGGCAGTTACTCTTTAAGGAAAATAAAAACTTGGATATCAGGTACAGTACACAACAGTTCAACGAGAGATGAGTGAAGCTACAGTGTTATAGCGGATGTGATCGTATACTATAAGCCTTTTTAATGTTTTATTATTTATTGTTTTCAAGTCAACGGTTCCAATTATGCATTAAAAGCAGCCTCTGATTCCGCCATGTTTACGATTATTTGTTTCACTCATGTCTTTAATTCAGTGATGATGACATGTCTAATGAGAAATCTTTTGTAGGGTGTAACTGACTGCCCGGGACCACTGTCAATGTATCTAAATTAACTGAAACTCAATGATGATGACTGTTTCTCATCTCATCTGTCATTGTGTGTGTATAGTAGTGTAAGAATAGAAAGTGTATGACAATGACAATATGATTTTAATAAATGATGTATAACACTAAAAATATTACAATGTACAATAACGGTAAATAATATCAAAATTGAATGTTTAAAACTGAAATAATGTATTCAGGTTAAATATGGTTATACACTTGATTTAATAACAAGAGAGTGTGGTTGTAAGAGTTTAAAAAAGTTAATGTATTGTAGTACAACTGATTTATAATGAGACAGAAGATGCTTGTATTTACCGAGTGAATTAATTAGCTCAAAATTTGACATTATTATACAATTGAATTTCAGCAAGTTATAATGAGTTTGTATTGTACTGGACACTTAGATGTTTCGTAACCTAACACTTGTCAACCAGTGATGTGAAACAGTCGCTGCTATTGTAAGGGAAAATTTGTACACCCGTGGCCTATTGATAGCCACACAATAACGGGTTCTGGTAAGTCATGTTTGTACTGGTCTCACAAAATAAGCACCAAAACAGTCTTTAAACCCAAGATTTTTTTTAGAATGGCATTTTTTTTAACACTTGTTTTTCTCTTAATTGTGTATGAAAAAAAGTTTGTAATTTTTCTCCCCATCCCATCCCCCCAATTTGGATCATAGTCCTACAAAAATATCTGGTCAGATGAAATAAAGAATTTTATTTGAATTTATGGCTTTTTTAAACGATACCTTTGTCTTAGTTGTTAATGAAGAATACTATACAGTGGTGCTCAGGCTACGCTACCTGGCTACACCAAGTTACCATTGCAGGAGTAAACAACACAGTCAAGATAACTTACTGTATAAAGAAGAACATTTATATACAGTACACGTCACGATTCTCTTTCAGCTCCTGGGATTATCAGTGGACGAAGCTGCAGCCGAAATGTTTTAATAAAAAATTAATTGGCTAAATTTGTGTGGCATAATGTACTGTATGAGTGAAGGAAAAGTTTTGTTGGTGATTAAAGTATATATATTTTGAAAGTTTAACGCTGAAACACTACCTCATATTATTGTACTCAATAATGTTGTATATGAAGTAATACTTTGTCCAGTGTCAAGAGGTTATGGTGAACGGAATATTACAACACGGGTTTTATCAATAAATGTGGGAGTTCTAGTATTATATATATCTCTCCTTCCTGGCGTACCTCCACACACCTCACACCCCCCGTCCTCCCCAACCTCCGCACACCCCCTCCTCCTCCCTCACACCCCCCCCCATCCTCCCCTACCTCCGCACACCCCCTCCTCCATCACACTAGATCCTCCCTCCATCCACACCTCTCCCTCACACCCCCCCATCCTCTCCTACCTCCGCACACCCCCTCCTCCATCCACACCTCTCCCTCACACACACTATCTTTATCAAGTTACAGTAACAACACAACACACACACACACACACACCAATTCAGTTTTTACATACGAAGATAAAGTTATTATTATTGATGATGAAAAGGGGATATACAGTATAGCAGTTAATGGTAGCGTGTTTGTGTTGGTCTATTTATTAATTTAAGATAAGGTAAATATTCTTGGACAATAGACAGTGGAATGTTTATTGTTGGTGAACATGAAAAGGGTGAAGGCTGAGATGAGTGTATTGATATAGAGGTGTTGGTAGTGCTTGATGACACCACTGTTGGGCGGTGGTGGTGTCAGGCTTATGTTCCACCAACCTATTCAGGAAAACAAAATTATTTGGAAATTTGCGGATACACAACACACACATACGAACACAACGTACAGTACACACACACACACTCCCCCTCACACACACATGCCAAATTCTGTAAACTAATCCCAAACTGGCAACTATGTTCTTATCCACATTAGGAAAACGTAATTTTTCCTGTAAATAATTTAGAAAAAAGTTGATGTATATATTAACCTTTAGAAAAAAATAACTTGCCCTTTTGACGTTAACTTTATGATGTTAATGTTAAAGATGTTATAGTGAGTGAGGTATAGTGTTTAAGTGATGCTTGTGTTGATGATGTTAATGTTGAAGGTGTTATAGTGAGAGGTATAGTGTTTAAGTGATGCTTGTGTTAATTGTCTCTTATAGTGATTACACACAAACGCACAATACCTCTTCGACACACGCACACACGCCCTGTCTCACACACACACACACACGTACAATACCTCCAACACACACATACCAATCTGTGTGTGTATGTGTGCGCAATCAAGATCTGCAACATTTACACGTGCACGCCTACATCCCCCACGTCATCATGTACACATAACGTATAACTTTTGTGTACGTTTAAGGTGTGACTGCATTATATCACAGCATCCCTACCATACACCATCCCTACCATACACCATCCCTACCACACCATCCCTACCATACACCATCCCTACCACACCATCCCTACCATAGACCACCCCTACCATACCATCCCTATCATACACCACCCCTACCACACCATCCCTACCATACACCACCACTACCACACCATCCCTACCATACACCACCTACCATACCCACCACACCATCCCTATCATACACCACCCCTACCACACCATCCCTACCATACACCACCACTACCACACCATCCCTACCATACACCACCCCTACCACACCATCCCTATCATACACCACCCCTACCACACCATCCCTACCATACACCACCCCTACCATACACCACCCCTACCACACCATCCGTACCATACATCACCCCTACCACACACACTACCAGTATCATAATTTATATCATCAACACCATTCAGAGCTGCTACCACACCCCATGAGTGTGTGTGTTGATACCACCCACACCCTCATACCACCACAACATGTTTCTGACGCCCCCACATAGTGTATCAGTGTAGTTAAGTGTTTCCTTTATACCACACAGTGTCGTCAAGTGTTAGCAGCTGAGCATTAGTGCTGCTGTGAGGAGCGTAGTGCTGCTGTGAGGAGCGTAGTGCTGCTGGGGGGAGCATAGTGCAGCTGTGATGAGCATAGCGCTGCTGTGAGGAGCATAGTGCAGCTGTGAGGAGCATAGTGCAGCTGTGAGGAGCATAGCGCTGCTGTGAGGAGCATAGTGCAGCTGTGAGGAGCACAGCGCTGCTGTGAGGAGCACAGTGCAGCTGTGAGGAGCATAGCGCTGCTGTGAGGAGCACAGTGCAGCTGTGAGGAGCATAGTGCAGCTGTGAGGAGCATAGCGCTGCTGTGAGGAGCATAGTGCAGCTGTGAGGAGCATAGCGCTGCTGTGAGGAGCATAGCGCTGCTGTGAGGAGCATAGTGCTGCTGTGAGGGGCATAATGCAGCTGTGAGGAGCATAGTGCTGCTGTGAGGAGCACAGTGCTGCTGTGAGGGGCATAATGCAGCTGTGAGGTATTAAGTGAAGGAACATTTAAGGCGGGCGACCTTGATGGTACAGTATTATCACTTGTGCTTGCTAAATCTAGACGCTCATTTTTACAGTAAATTCAATGTTTATATTTAACTCCATTTAAATTTATATTAACATTTTGCTAATTAATATTGTAGATAATAATAAAGTTAATATTTCCTGTATTTTGTTGGCATGAGGTTTAAAATGTTTATCAGTGACGCCATACATCGGTTTGGTGACGTCACGGTTGTCAATATAGGGTGTGTGTGTGTTTAAAACTGTGTAGTGTGCTATCATGTGTTACTGCTACCACACACCACCACTACTACTACTACTATCACTATTACCACACTACAACTACCATACACCACTACAACTACCACCACCATTACTGCCAAGCGCCACTAATACACACTACCATTAATCATTACCACTTACCGCTACCAACATCAATACCACACACACTACTAATACCACCACACAACACTGCTACCACTGAGTCACTCACACCTACT